AAAATGGGTTCATCAATGAGTTTCTCATGCTGGGTCGCTCTTGTTAAAGAGATAAAACCTGATTTCTGAGGTACTCTGATTATCTGGAGATGACTTAATGACACACTGCTACCTTAAAAGATGTAACTAGTGAGATTTTAAACAATTTTATCCCTTACAAGTGTATAAATTTCCATGCTAGGAAAATAATATAAAAGATACACATTGCCCATAAAAAGTAATCAGCCCATTTATGAAATTTTAAAATGAAACTAGTCAACTACTCCCTGTGAAACAGCACTTGTCTACTGATTCACTGAAAGGAATGATGACAATAAGATTCCTTGAAAAATCACCCACTTTTAGAAGAATCTCTAAACTCAGTATTGGGGTGAACTGGAATTGGTGTCAAAGCTTCCCCTTTTTTAACCTCTTTGGTTCATCAGGCTTGTTCTTGTCTTCCTTCAAAGGAAACCTGTAGGTTGGGAACCCAAAATGTTTGACTATAATTGACTTATAGAGCTATGGTATTTATGCTCTGTGTTTTTTCTGAGGAGGTAGAACCAGCCCAAGTAGTGGGTTCCCAACCTGAAGACCACCTCGTGTGGGCCAGTGACCGGCTCTGTGTAGCCATACTTAATGTCTGCATCCACACGCCAAGAAAGTCCATCATGATTTGTTTTATTTGTGTACACATCAACAAAATTTCCATTTGAGCAGATCATTTCTGGGCTAGAAGGAATATGAGAAAACCCATGGGCCAACAGATGAGAGCCTGAGGAGGTGAGGCCAGAGTCGGAGTATGGAAGCAGTGGGATATAATGCCTAGGAACTGGCAGGCAAGAAGGATGCAGAGTCATGAAGAAATGTAGCGCTCTTAGAAAAACTGGGGACTCATAAAAAGTGAAAATGTTTTAGAAGTGAGGATAAAAGACTTGCAACATGGCCAGGGTGATCAGAGATGGAACAAGATGACCAGGAGTGTTCTCGAAGCTGGACCTACTCAGGAAAGTGCGCCAGCGGAGGTTACTGCCCTATAGGTAAGAAGGGACAAGCCGAAACTCAGTTAAACCTAGGAAGGATTTTGTCTGCCCACTTATCCAAAGTACAAGCTGAAAGAAACTGCTCTGGGCTTGGACTGAGAGCAATAGTCTGATGCCATAGGGAGTGAGTGAAACTTACTTAACATACCTAAAAATTAACTTCATTTTTTAGAACTTAACAGATATCCACTGAGCTTCTGCTGTGTGACAGTTACTTTTCTACGCAATAGGGAAAGCAGGGAAATAAGGCAGAAAATGTCCTTGTGCATATGGGACTCGTGTTCTACTGGGAAATGACAGACAATAAAGGAACAAGTTAATTTAAGGAAATAAGATAGATGGAGATAGTGGTTTCATGAAGGGAATAAAACAAGGTACCTTTATGAAGGTGAATGACTGGAGTAGGAGTAGGTAGATAATTTAGATGTCATTTTATTTGTTTAAAAAATCACTCTGGCTGCTTGGTTGACTTGAGCAAACAGATCCTCCAGGGGAAACTGCTGACCTCATTGTGTCCTTTCTGGGAACCAGGTGAGGAGGTTTCACCCAGGCCAGGTTTCTGTGTGAACAAAACAGAAAGGGACTTTTTAACTTGGGGCTTAGTGACTATGACAAGAGAATTTGGGGGGGATTGACTCAACCAAGTTTGTAAAGAAAAACTACATGCAGCTTCTGAAACACAGGCAACAAACCTTAGAAGTTAAATAATAATTTCTCATGGATCTGCAGGCTCTCCAAACAGTCCCCAGGACAGTCCACAGTGGATCCTTTTCACTCCCGTTTCTCCATCTGTGTGTCCTCGGTGTGTTCCTTCTTGTGTAACACTACTAAGTATCCCCCAGCATCAGTGGCTAGGAATAGTAGAGTTCTGGAACTTCTCAGTCACATCATGCTTCACATTATGTCAGTTTTCTCCCTGAAAAGGGGAAGGCAGAAAATTGGTAAGAGCTGGGTGTCCTTGAGTAGAATCTTTGGAAGTGAAAATCCTGGCCCACAGGTTGTTGGCACACTAGGGTACCCAAATATTAGCCAGTCTGACGGGGGCTATCTGTTCTTCCCTGGGTCTTGCTGTTAGGTTAACAAAGACTCTGAAGTTTGAAGGATGGTAGTCAAATGGCATCGCTTCCTTCCTCTTTGGCAACTCCAACAAATATCAGCTTTCGCATACAGGCTGGAGAAGGCAACTTCTCAACAGAGCTAATGAATACATATCATTGCTTGGTCCTGCAAAATGAAGATAGTTCTAATTAGAGTAATAATTCATGGTGTTGGATGTTGCTAAATATCACCTCACTGATACTGTGTAATTTAAAAACTCACAAAACTGCTATTACGGATTTTACCCAGCTGTTGTCATCTCTGAACCTGCTAGTATAAGCGCTGGGATTTACAATGTTTTATTTTTAAAGGAAGAGCTACACAGATATTCAGGTGGGTTTCTTTTTCACAGGATTCTCTATGTCAAGGCTTGAACTAAGTTGTCTTACGATTCAAAGAAAATGGCTGACTCTGGCACTTGTCCTAATAACTAATTGCTGTCTTACTCACACACCAACATAACACTGAATTTCAATTTTAAAAATATTCTGCCAGTGTACTATTTAAATGTTAAAATATGTGTTGATTAGTTTTTCCCCAAATTATGACAATTACAGTCATTTGGCATTTTATACATTTAGAAGTGGCTCAGGGATGGAAGTTAAAACCCTAAGTTGAATCACATCTTGTAGAAAGGATTTAAAAGCAGCAATAAGCCTGTGTGTTCTGACAGCTGCTACATAAATTTGGAAGCTGGGGAAGATAATCAAGATATTAAGACGTGATTTAATCAGTCACATTGGAATACTTGCCAGGTAATGAAGCTCATTAAAGGAAGCAGTGTATTCCAAGTAGCTGTAGTAAATATCCAAGGATCCCAGAAGCTAGTGCTTCCAGTTTTCTGGGAAACTTGACCAGTGCAGCAGACTAGAAGCATCATGCATCACTGTGCTTACCTTATGCCAGGTTCCATAGTCTTTAGATACATCTATACGGATGAAGATATTGTAGTAGAATCAGTTTGCAGAATCAGCGAAGTGCAAGAGAACATTGTTGTTATTGTTTAAGAAAATAATGTGATTCACACAAAGCACCCTTTGTAGAGTAAAAAAAATCTCAGTAGGTTGATATTGAAAAATTCAAATTACCATTTTCTTCATAGTCACAATCCCCTGATGAATGTAGATGAATTTATATGATCTGAAGTAGTTAATTCAAAAACACTGCATGCTTATATTTTGGAATAGTTGGTCCCATGAAGTATGAACTCAGACATATTTGTTTACTTCAAAGAGAAGCAAGAATTCTGATTACCTTTGAGTAGGAAAAGGTTAATTCAAAAACACTGCATGCTTATATTTTGGAATAGTTGGTCCCGTGAGGTATAAACTCAGACATAATTGTTTACTTCAAAGTGAGCAAGAATTCTGATTACCTTTGAGTAGAAAAAGAATAGGATTGTCATGAATACTAACAAAATCATTCTATTATCCAGTACCTTAGTAATTAGATTTGTATATAGACTCATGGGTGAAAACGAGTTTGTTTTATTGAGCATCAAATCCATAGATAGAGATGCTAGCTAGACAGCCCCTGAATCACAGAGTATCCATAGAAGAAGGAGCCCTCTCCCCAGGAAATTGTTTAATTAGTATTTAGTAAAGGTCGGGGAATACCAGTGCCCAAACTTTACCTAAAGGTGTCCTCTGCACTTTCAAATTGGTAATAACTCTGTACATTTTGCTGTTCTTGCTTGATAGAACATTTTCATTTCCTTATGAGTTTTATGTTTGTTTAATCCCTTTAATGGGTCACTGTAAATTGAGATGTGATTTTGTATTCGCAGTGAATGTAGCACACCCCTATCGCTGGTAGTCCATTGGAAGAGCTATAAAACTCTCTTGCAGCTGTGAAGGCATTAAGCTCTGGACAGCCTTCCTTGGCATTTACCCTGCAACCAGATCCTAGCAGCACAGATGTGCCCATCGACCCCAGATTTGTGCGGCATAGCTCTTGTAATCATGTTGTCTGTCATCCAGCTGGTGCTGGGAACTTCAGTTTTGAGTAAATTTTAATGAGGTTGGATCATGATTTATCATAATTGTTGATAGATAATGATGGCTAAATGACAATGGGTTGAGGTTTACGAAAGTGGCATTCAACTTCCTGGAGTCAATGCCACTTTGAACTTTAAGGCATTTATGTATTCTGTAAAAGTGTGATAATGTAACTTGTTTACAGCTTACCTTCACAAAATTAAAATGTATTTGAAGATAAAATGAAAAAACTTGGGAGTCTTAGAAGAAGGCTGATATCCAAATCTATGGTATCTTAGAAATTTTATAATAATGAGAGCCAACTGTGGAATTAAGTAAAGGCCACAGGTTTGTCTTGGAGAAGTTCATAAGAATGTAGTCTCATTAAAAAAAATACTGATTGACCAGAGGAGATAAATATAAAGGGGTCCTAATAATATTAATATGAGTTTGTGGCCATCGCATCATGAGTGTGTGACACACACACACATATATATATATGCAGAGAAAAGCTAAGAAAAGGAAATTTGGTAAAGGAATAAATTACTATTTAAGAAAAATACTGGGTTAATGTTTATCAAGTATTTTATAACTGATGTCTTATCAAGACAATTTAAAATAACTACTATAAATTGAAAATTACAAAATATTCATAACCAAGCAGTTATGAATCACTTAGTACTTTCAAAGTGATGCCTTATTCTTCTGCTCTAATTCAGACACATTGACTTTCTGAGAATCCATGTAGGTCGTTTCTTTTAGGATTTAGGAAAAGATATCTATTTTATTGTGCTTTACCTGTTAGCAGAAATTAATATGGAATTGAAAATAAATTTTTAAGTTAAAGTCCTGTGATGAATATTTAGAAGGTTTGCCAGACACTTACTGTTACTTATTCTTGCAGGCTTGTACCGCATACGTGGATTTTATGATTTCTGTGGCCAAGTTGATTCGTCAGGAGAGAGGACTGTCCGTAAATGAAAGCCTGCTTTCCCTGGAAATGAATAAAGTTATGGAATTGGAAAAAGAAATTGCCAATGTAAAACATTATTATCTCTGATACACTGAATAATGCCAACCACTTCTTTTTTCTTTTTTCTCTCATATTTTAAGTAAAAGGTGCAATTCCTTAACCAAGTGATAAAAAATGCCTAGCTTAGTAAAGGATCATTAACTTTAAGAGAATCTTTAGAACTGTAGCATTTTATAATAAATTGGGTCCCTGACATTCGAGAGACACATTAAACTTAATACATATTAAACTAGATATACTTGATTAATAGGTAATAATTACCTGTTATAAGTGGCTTACATCATAATTCTAACTACAACCTGTTGGTTGTGATGTCCTTGAGAATCAGGATATACTTGCTTGCTAAACTATTCAGCAAAACTGTTTTTGTCTGGATAGTCACAATTTTACTTTTTTAAAAAGAAGTTTATTGCGATTACAGAGATTATCTCTATCCCTTTGCTGAGGAGTATTAGCGCCTGAACTTGGTCACATGACTATGTGATGTCACTGAGTTCAGTCTGCCTGTGGCTCACTCAGCTCAGGGGAGGTCTTATAGGAAGAACCATCAGCAGAGCCCAAAGGGGATATTCATGAATTGCCTCTAGCTCCACGTGAATTCTGGGAGTCTGAGTCAGTGTTTTCTTGTCTGAATGGGTCTGTAGCCTCAGGTGAGAAACTGTTGAAGCAGCATCCAGGTTATTGATTGAGCCCGTGTTCAGTTTTGGTCTCGCCACAGAGAGCTCTCTCTGACATCGCAAATAACAACCCGTCCTCCTAAATTCTATCTACTTGTCACTGCCATCAGAATCTTGAAGACTGGGCATTTTTAAAAACAATTTTAGCTTTCCGAGGACTAATGAAACCAAAAATCTCCCATCAGAACCAGGCTTTGCCTGCGGTTGCAGTGGGATGAATGGAAGTTTGGTGGGTTACATGTGGCTTTGTGTGGAAAACGGAATTATTAGAGGAGAACAGTTTATTGTCCTGAGATTTTACCACCTGCACCTTCCCAGACCATGTTCTCCTTCAATCACCCTCATCATTCCAGTGGTTGTATCTCAGAATTATTTGTGCCCAGATTTTCTGTGTTTTAGACTCTGAATTTGGGCTGCTACCTTAGTCATCTTTGAATCACCTATGTATTTCCAACAGTTCCAGCTTATTGTTGCATGGAGGAGACATTCACTAAGCAGTCTTTAAAGTAAAGTCATAAATAAGTGAGATAAAGGGGAAATTGGAGCAATTGTCACTGAAAAACAATTCCCGTTTTAAACTTTGACCTTTTGTCTCTTCTCACTGAAAATTGCTTTTACTCATTTTGGCCACTAGTAGAAAAGTTGTCACTGCAATTTTTTTTCTCTTTATTCAATGAAAATAAAATAAAATAAAACTGGACACAGTTAAGCATAGAGCACTCAACTGGTTAGGCAGGACATAAGGACGGTCACAGGAATACACGGTGCTGCACTCTCCTCCGATAATTTGCAACCTAAGTAGCAGTTTTCTCTGTTTTATTTGCTTTAAATCCTTGCAGAAGCATTGTGTGTGTGTTTTTTCTGCCTGAATTTTAACTGGGACACTGAATGGTAGTGGTGGATGGTGAGAGACAGGATTTGAGCGATAAATTGGAGGTGACTGTATTTAAAACAGTTGCTATAACACAAAACAGACACGAGTGGGCTGGCCCTCAACCGTGGGAGGAAGCAGGCCTACGAATGTGGCTCATGTGGCTTGGCCGTTTTCAAAAATATAAGAAGATTTTGAGAAATTTTATATACAACACTGCAGCCAAATCTTGATCATCGTTACTTCATATACTTAAATTTCACTTTTTTTGATATGACAAAATAAATTACAAAACAAGCACAGAACTTAAAGTATATTTACCTATCTCATATTTCTTTTTTACTCAAATATAGTTTTATTCTCCTAAAGAATTCTTAGTTCGAAACTAATTAACAAAATATAAATCCACAGGCTACAGATGAACCTGAAAATCGAAATGACCCGATGCTTCTTTATAACAAAATGACCTTAGCCCAGGTCCAAAATAACTTTTCACTAGAGATCAATGGGAAGGTAAGTAGCAAGGTTTATGTACTCTTTTATTGTGCCATTTCTAAAACATAACCTCGAAATGTTAAAATGATTTATTTATTACAAATACTGAATATCAAATGAATTTAGATCACACCAAGCATGTGACTTCACAACAGGACCTGAGAAAAAACAATTTGAAACTATTATATTTATATGTAGTTAGAGGGAATTTTAAAGGTAAAAGTCCTTTAAAACCAACTCTGCAGTAGTGGTGGGAAGGATCATAGGAAAGGGTTTGGAATATATTAAAGCTGAAAATCCTTTTGAAAGACCATTATATAGACATGAGAGTTGCATAGGCAGATAATAAATGCACTCAAGTCCTTTTAACTCCTAAAAATATTAACTTATTCATAGAACTTGCTATGTTCTCACCAAGGCATCTATGGAGGTGTTCAGAGCCATAATGGAGAAATAGAATGCAGGAAATAAGAGAACTGTCTTATAGCTTCCATTTATAAACAGAAATCGACATCCTTTTGCTTAGTTGTAATTCATTAGCGAGTATGTAATTATCTCTTTTGGGGACTACTCATGTGTACTTGGGGACTACTCATGCGTACTTGGGGACTAGTTGGGGCACACAATTGAGAAATAATGCAGCACCATGGGAAAATCTACAAACTCGCCTTAAAAAGGCGCAATCTTAAATCTCTCCTCCGATAATTTGCAACCTAAGTAGCAGTTTTCTCTGTTTTATTTGCTTTAAATCCTTGCAGAAGCATTGTGTGTGTCTTTTTTCTGTCTGAATTTTAACTGGGACACTGAATGGTAGTGGTGGATGGTGGGAGACAGGATTTGAGCGATAAATTGGATAAATCTTGCCTTAAAAAGGCAAGATTCCGACTTTTGGCTTCTCCAAACCTAGCCTCTGAGCTGTGAAAGTCGTACGTCTGCACACCCGGTGTTGGCAGTGCTGTGGCTTCACCGGACCCTCTCTGATGGCTCCGTTGGACATGACTCACTGCGCCTCTGCTACAACCCTAATGTGCTTTCATTCCCGGCAGGGTGGCCACTGAGATACATCATTGTTGGAGTGGCTGTTTATTAACATCCACTTCTAAAAGATAAACTCTTTATACCCACTTAAATGTTTGCATAAACCAAGGGAGATTTATTTTTTAGAGCTAAATTTTTCTTCTTCTTTTTAAAATATCGATTAGACCAAGAAGATGACATCGAGCCTAATTTCTAGCTTAGAGGCTTTGCTTTTGTTCTTAAATGGTCGGTTTAATTCTGTTATGAAAATAATCATGTTGCAGAACTAATTACTATTCAAAACCAATTGAAACAAGTGAGGGAAAATCCCAAACGAGTATCCGACCGACAACTGTGATAATGATATTGTGATGCAGCTGATACCCTAACCCTGTCTGACCCTGAACCATAATTGAGTGTTGGAATCAGGAAGAGAAATTCATAATTACTGAATGTTTTGTGCCTGCTTTTTTCCAGCCATTCAGCTGGTCAAATTTCACAAATGAAATTATGTCAACTGTGAATATTAATATTGCAAATGAGGAAGAAGTGGTTGTTTATGCTCCAGACTATTTAACCAAACTTAAGCTCATTCTTACCAAATATTCTGCCAGGTAGGTATATCAGAGTGCCCATGTCCTCAGAGTTTACATTTAATATCACTCTTTAGAAGCTTTGCAGCCTCATCTTTTCTGTTGCTGGGTGGTGGGTTTTTTTATACAGAGATCTTCAAAATTTAATGTCCTGGCGGTTCATAATGGATCTTGTAAGCAGCCTCAGCAGAACCTACAAGGAATCCAGAAATGCTTTCCGCAAGGTGAAGAAACAATCTCTCTTTTCTTAAGACTTAAAACATAAAGAGGTACATGGTTATGAAGGTTCCATGTACACTGCTAGAATATGGAGACTTTGCCAAAAGACAAAATGCCAAACGGTGATTGTTTTGCTCATATTTAGGCTATGATGTCTAGAAAAGCCCATTTTTATGGGTTTTGCCATCCTGTTTTTGTCTACTGTGGCACCATGATTGACATTACCCTGAAAGGATACGCATTTCGCTATGTGAGCATTTCATGAGACACACTGGCTTGGTTTCTTTCACATGTTAAAAAGTAATCCCAAGGATGTCTCAGTTAACTCTAATTTTTAGGTATTTGTAGCACACTAGATATGCACACAGATGGACTGCACTGACGTGGACAATGCCCTGAGAACACACCTACCTGGCTGGAGACAACCTCGACGCCTTTCATTAGGCTGTACCTACATTGAAACACTCATCACTTTAGTCCTGTTGTATGGGGCCAGGGCAGAAGGGATTGAGCGAGGAGAAATTCTAGCAAACAGTTGGTGTCCAGTACTGGATGGTATCACGGAAAGGAAATAACTCTCAGATTAATTGAAATTTTCTTGTTTTTACCCTTTAAAAATATAGACACATTTTTTAAATTAAAGAATGTAAAAATGGTGTTTTGCTAAATCTCCCATACCTAAGTTAGTTCTCTTAGTGGTACTTAAATTTATGCACATTAAGTTCCTCTAAGTACCGGAAGTTCAGCTAAACCATTAAAAAAATAAGAACAGGTTTTTTGTGTGTGTAACAGATTTCTGCCCCAATGTGTTCATTGAACATCATCTCACATTTATGATCATGCAGTGGTAGCAGTGTTATTTTTTGTTTGTTTTGAAGGATTATTTTGGTGGTGGTTGTTGCTTTTTTCTGAAGCTGTCTAGAAGGATATTAAAGTGTAGTAACCAAAAGTTCCACAGGGACAGGTACTGAAAATATACTTTATTTTCAGATCATATATAAGTAAATGATCCAATCAGATTGCATTTTATCATAAGCAAGAACCTGCCTTGTGAGGAGATGCAATGAATATTGCAAGAATTTAGGAGACGTAAAGAATAGAGTCCTGAGAAATCTGCTCTCACCGTGCCCCAGCCATCTTCCTCCTGACCAGACCATCTCCTTTCTCTCTCTCATAGGCCCTTTATGGCACCACATCAGAAACAGCGACTTGGAGACGCTGTGCAAACTACGTCAACGGGAACATGGAAAATGCTGTGGGAAGGCTTTATGTAAACGCAGCATTTGCTGGAGACAGTAAACATGTGGTAATGTTTTCAGCCCAGTACATTATCAGTTCTTTGTTTGCATTGATGGGCAGTTACACTTGTCCATAAGTTGGCCAACATTTTATTAATTGCCAGGGAACTTCTGAATCATAATTTGCCATTATTTCACAGTAAATCCCATTCTGGTTTTGTTTCTGACCCTGGTGTTATTTAGTCCACAACCAGCTGTCCTTTTACCAGAAGCAGTAGGTTGTGGAAATAGTCACATCGTCTGGTGGCATAGTCCTTTGTAAACTCTTCTGTTAGCAAAATTAAACGGGAATTAGTGTTTTCCTTTTTATATTGTTGTTCAGTTACAGTTGTCCCCATTTCTGCCCCAGTTGAGTTAGAGTTTTCTCAAAAACCTAAAAAGTAAACCCACATTCCCTGGAAGTGTAAGAAATGTACTCCATTTGTCATTGTTTTTGAAATGAAAACAATGGAACTTGAAGGGCTGATGAACCTATTGATATGCTTCTTCATGTTTTACTAAACTACACATGGTAATGACAACTAATATTTTATGTCCTTTTATGATAATGCAGATCATTACCTTCTAAACATGATTTTTACTAATGCATATATTAAGACCTATTTAATCATAAGTATTGATAATAACACAGTAATTTTCCACATATATCCATTTGTTCAGGTCATAGTTTGTCTATATATTTATATTTATTAATATATTATTGAGTCACATAAAGACAAATTATAGCTCTAATTTTTTAAATTTGTGCTACAAAAGATTGACAAATGGCCTAAATTCACCTTCCGTTCTTTTGGTTTGAGGTTGAAGATCTGATCGCACAGATCCGGGAAGTTTTCATTCAGACATTAGATGACCTCACCTGGATGGATGCTGAGACCAAAAAAAAAGCTGAAGAAAAGGTAAAAAGCACAACAGGGCTAACCAGCAAAGAAGAAAATTCCTTTATAAAGAAATGTCGACTTTAAGGAAATTCAAGAAAAATATAATCAAGAATTACATAAAATTTTTAATAAAAATCTGATCAAAGGCAGTAATAAAAAAAGAATTGCACAGAATAAAAGCAACTTCCTTCAGGATATAATGTTACCAAGAACAGTTTTCATGGATGGAGATAGTTTCTATGATTTTCACTTTTTATTTATTTTTTCTTTGCAACCAAGCTCCTACTCTCCATGTTCAGCTCAAAACTTCAAAAGACCTCCAACTTTCCCTTTTTAAAAAAGAAAAGTCTTCAGAAAACAAGAGGAAAATCTTATGTAAAAAAGTGAAGAATGGAATGGCACTATCAGTGGCTCATAGTGGTCCTGCTTTTATGATAGATAACTAAAACGCCTCTAACAATGTCACAAATATGTGCTTAATTTTTAATGCAAATTTCTAGATAAATTTTTTGAAACATACTCCATGTAGCTTTCCATATGATGTAGGGATAAAAAGAATACTATATTTTTGTTCAAGCAAATGGAAGGTGGTACAATATTTGAGTTTTATAAGGTGATCTGGAGTTCCTTTTGTTGGGACTTGTAATATCTTGCATAAGAAGAAAGATGAGATTTCTAGGAAATGTTAGGTTTAAATTCACTATGATCATTTGTCTTGATAACAATGTAAAACTAGAAGGAACAACATGTCCGGCGAAAACTGTATGTGCTTTATGAGCTGTATTCTCATGAAACCCGATTATTTTTCATAGTTCAGGTGACAGGAAGAACAGACAATTTTTCGAACTGATAACAGGAGTTCAGAAACCTATTATAATAAGAAAACCTAAGATGTAGTCTAGTTCTCTTTCAGGAATAAATCATGTGGAAGATCTAACATTTTAAGTTCAGAGCCCTGGGTACATTAGGTCTAGAATTTAAGCCCCCCCATATTTTCATCATTCTGACAATGTCCTTGGAAGTTTAGTCTATATTTGCTGCATTCGTGGTCTAGATATCCGTGACAAGGTTTCTGTCTGATGGAGCCAGTTGCATTGTTCTCCATCATCATTTCCCAAGGTGGCATCACAAAATGAGGGACCTGCCAGATTGTTCCACAAAAGAGTTCCATGGTCAAAGAATTTAAGAAACACTTCCTGCAGAAAGGTTTCCCTGATCCCAACCTAGTCTGGTTATGTGCTCCTAGGGTGTGATTTTTATGACACCATACCTCATACTTGGGAGTTACTTCTCATTTTATTGCCTATCACTGGTCTTTACAGTAAGCTCTCTGGGGGGAGGGATTTTTGCCTGGCATTGAAGCCTCGACCCCTTACAAAGTACCTGGCTCATCATAAACCCTGGAGCCTGTATTGAATGAATACCTGGATGACTAATTCCTCCTCTTGGACACTTAGAGTAACCTAATTTTGACTCCGAGAAGTCCTGCTTAATGTTATCATCACTGTATTTACCCAAAGTATTTGACAATAGATGCTTTTTCTGTAGTAACTTTTATTTCAGTCAAGTTCGTGCCTCTCAGAACACTCTGGGGAAAGGCCTTCTAGAAATTGAAGTGCTAATGAAAAGGGGCTGATTTGGAAGGAGCTGGTGGTGTGGAAACTGTGAGAAAATGGGGTTGCCTAACTGCCTTAGTGACACATATCCTGTCCCAGCCGCTGAGGAAGTCCTGGGCCCGTGAAACAGATGTGTAACAAAGCCCCATCTATTTGATGGCCTAATTCCCCAGAAAAAATTTTAATCAATTAAGTTATTTAAGAGCCATGTGAAATGATAGACTCAAAAGTCAATTATCTTTGAGAAAATAAGAAAAATAGAGCGGTTAGTAAACAAGTGGTAATCATAAAGAATAAGGGAACAATTTCTAAATAATAAACATAATATCATAAATAGCAGTTAGCAAGTGGTAAATGTGACGTAACAAGGAAATCTCCTGCTTTTCACTTGTGTAATTAATGTCATTCATTTAACTTTGAGAAGATAGGTATACAGCTTTGGAGACCGCAGGAAAGCATAAAATCTCCACAAATCAGCTCTGGCTGGTGTGGCTCAAGTGGATTGGGCACTGGGCTACGAAGCAGAGGGTTGCTGGTTCAATTCCCAGTCAGGGCACATGCCTGGGTGGCAGGCCAGGTTCCCCAGTGCAGAGAGCGTGAGAGGCAACCACATGTTTCTCACCCTCTCTTTCTCCCTTCCTTCCCCTCCGTCTAAAAATAAATAAGTAAAAAAAAGCAATCCACAGATCAATATTCAGAAAGAATATTCACACAGAATGGATAGAAGCCCATATCTATTTTCTCAGCCAAATCAGTAAAGTGGAAAGATAATTATAAGCTGCTAGAATGGAAGCTCTAAATATTAACTCCTGTAAATTGAAGAAAAAGTCTCTCAGAGAAAAATTTCATGAAATACAATACCTGTGGCATATTGAATTGTCAAATTTCACTTTGGTTTCCTTGGGAAAGCTTGTAGCACGTGAGGATGGGGCAATAGGACCTGAATTTCAGACCAAATTTTTGTTTCTTTTTAGCCCCAGGAAGAAGCCGCCACTTCAAAGGTCTCTTTGTGTTGTCAGATACCGTTTTTTTTGTAAACAGTATGAGGTCAAGTTATTCTGTTGATATTCATGGGCAAATTACAGTGTTTGCGTTTAAAAGTTATGCAATCTTCCTTACATTCAATACTATAATTTTCATAGGCCTTAGCCATTAAAGAAAGAATCGGCTATCCTGATGACATAATCTCAGATGATAACAAGCTGAATAAAGAGTACCAGGAGGTAAGTCTCTATGAAGACTGTGGGCTAATGTCACCTGGGGCCCGGGGGCAGTGTCATTTCTAGCTTTCGAGTGGCAGCAGTTAGGTAAAGTAGCCAAAAAACATAGGTTTTAAATATTATATAAAGCCTTTAACACTGAAGACAGATACACGTTTGCTTTAGTTTTAGCCTTTGTCTCATTGGCCTGGTTTGTATCTGTTTTTTGGTTTCCGTATATTCTACTTTAGAACTAAGAAAAACCTGGGGTCCTTTAAAGAGTATCAAGAACAGACATCAAGGTGCTGAACCACAGGCGGAGCTCTGACTCCCGTCTCATGCTCTACAGGCCTGAAAAGTCAGATCTTCAGGTTTCTGTCCACTTTCTAATTTCTCCTCCGCTGGAAAAGCTATGTCATGCATTCTCTCTTTAAAAAGAAAACAAAAAATAATAATAGTTGAGAACCAGAGACTGTTGTATTCTCCTTTGGTAATGTAATGAGGGTAAGAGAAGAGAGATGACTGAAGTCCCTGCAGAACAGATTTCAGACCTAGCTGAGGATGTTGTTGCACACCTGTGGTCACCACAACTCCTTGAAACTCGGGTGATGACAAGGTAAATCACTGTGCAAATCAGAGATGACAGTGATTCCTACTCCACTGACTACTAGCCTCACGTGGGGGCTTGCAAGCCACAGTGCCTTCTCCTCCTTTTCTATTTGCAGAAAGGCTTGGCTGTTCCTTTGAAAGGAGCTGGCTGCAGCATGTGAGTGCTGGCAGGTCCTCATAGCAGGAGCCCAGTGACTGAGACCATAATACTCAAAGCTGAGCTGCACGGGTTCAAATCCTGGCTCCACCACTCAGTAACTTGCTAAGAGCATAGAATCAAAGTCAAACTCAATGGTTCAAATACCCGCTCCTACATTCAGTAACTTGGGCAAGTGCACTTGTCTGTGCCTCAGTTTCCACAGCTTTTAAGTGGTGGATAGCAGCCTATTTTTATAAGATTATTAAGAGGATTAAAAGAGTGTTGCCTATATTTAAAATTCTTAGAATACTGCCTGGCATATAGTAAGTACTACTAAGAAAATGCTATTATCCCATCTGGTATATAAAGATTAATATCAATATAGTAAGGCTGGCCTGACACTTGGCTTTATCTGATTAATTACAAAAGAATAGACTGAAGCAGTCATTCAGCTAGAGTGGCAATGACCTGTAATAGAGAACTAGTCTGATTAGAACTAAATCCTTCTTTGGTAAATTTTAATGCTCTCTGTTAACTTTATTAATAGAATTTGGGGAAAAAATCCTCTATTGTTTTAGCAAAAGTTTTGAAGGTACTGGTATTAATATTTTTCCCCAAATCTTTTATATAATATAGCTGAACTACAAGGAAGATGAATACTTTGAGAATATCATTCAAAATTTGAAGTTAATCCAAAATAAACAACTGAAGAAGCTTCGAGAAAAGGTGGACAAGGATGAGTAAGTATATTCCAGTCTCTAATATGTTTATTCAGAAGAGGGTCCTTTCCCCCACTCTTGGTTGGATTAAGAGAAAGAATCTGACTTAGAATAATACTGTTAAAAAGTATAATTTTCCTCCTTCTATGAAGTATGAATACTTTTAAGATCACCTATGAATATTATACTAAAGTTGGGTCAGGGCTTTAACCAAATTTAAATATTTTATTAAGGTGTGCTCCCGGGGAACCCAATTTCTTTGGTTTGTTTTCATTTTATTGCCTCTCCCTCTGCATTTTTTGGTGACCTCGTTCTCCAGGACACCTATCCAAGTAACCCATGGTTTCTTCAAGCTTCTCTGAGGCTTTGCTTCTATACTCAGAATTTTCCTCTAGCCACAGTCCTGCCTTTTATTTCACTGGTAGGTCTGCATGTATTATTTTGGTTTCCATAATTTCCATTTTAAGAAGAAAAATACGGTGTCCTTTAAAGAGTATCAAGGGCAGGCATCAAAGTGCGTAAACACAGGCAGAGTTCAGACTCCTGTCTCATCCTCTACGGGCCTGAAAAGTCAGATCTTCAGGTTTCTGTCCACTTTCTGATTTTTCCTCGATTGGATAAGCTGTGTCATGCATTCTCTATTTAAAAAACAAAACAATCTAATGTTTGAGAACTGGAGACTGTTGTATTCTCCTTTGGTAATGTAACAAGGGTAAGAGAAGAGAGATGATTAAAGTCCCTGCAGTACTGATTTCAGACTTAGCTGGGGGTCTGGTTGCTAACCTTTGGACCAGTGAGTCATTGGCATTACACAAGTCCGCCCCACCCTGGATTGCCACGTGTAAACACTTCTCTCACCCTCGTGGTGGCCAAACATGAGACGTAAGCATCACTGCCATTCACAACCATCACTGCCATTCACAACCTTCACGTGCTCTTTATCTCTGTTTATTAGTGGTTCATGTTGACACTAGTGGTTAACATTAGTAGCTCGTGTTAGTAACTGGTATAGTGTTTATTTTGCAACTAAATGGATGTTTCTAACATATTTATCAACTTAGGTGTTTGTGCACTTACCTCCCTAGAATTGCTTGTGTTGACATCTCACTATGTTCTTAGCAGCTAAAAACAGGGGCTATTCCTTTTGACCATTCAGCACAGGGCTGAATACATAGAAGATTTTCAGTTAAAACAATCATTGAATGATGAGCGAGTGAAAAATAAATATACCAACTTGATTTCTGTGTAACTGACACAGTAACAAACCAATGAGGTGCATGTATGCATTCACTTGTTCCTTCATGTATTTATTTATTAAAATAATATTTTGGAATACTAAGTCTAGGTGTTACTGGGTTCTGGGAGAATCAAAGGTGAACTTCAACTATACTGCGTTACAGTACAAAAGCAGGGAGTAGTGATGAGGAAGGAGAATTCCCCCCTTACCCCTCTGGAGTTCTTATGGCTGGACTAATAATAAAATGGACCTAAGACCAGATTAACAGAAGAAAAAGCAATTTAATACTTTTTAGTGCCGGAGATCAGAAATGACACTCTGAGAAATGATGACCCAGTCAGCTTTTGATACCTTTTAGACAAAGAAACAGGACATTTGTGAAGAATTGACAGGACAAAGAAATTTTGGTTTTTGTTTTCATTAGTGGAAAATCTAAACAAAGTTTGGGCTTGGCCAGTAAATTAGTAAAGAAATAACAAGTTTTGTTGATACCGCTTTTTGGCCCTGAGTTCCTTAACTCATGGGATAAGGATTTCTCTCCCACCTCCCTGGAGCAAGGAGGGCACCTGTCACAAAGGAGATTTATTTCCTGCATTCAAGGAGAGAAGGGAGGGTCAATGTGCCCTTCTTGCATTGGCTGCTTGTCAAAGAGCTCTAATTCAAAGTAATAGATATGTCGTCGTGGGATATTTTTAGGGTGGCCTGCTCTGGGCCCCGGCAGTAGGGAAGACATGATGTAATAAACTGATCCACCAAGAGGGAGATATTGTGTCGAGAAAGGTACAGAGTGCAGTGGGGCCGCTTGATGACAAGAGCGTCCTCTCCTGGGTAAACCAGTACAGTTCAGTCCTTCCACAGCATTTTGAACCATTCAGTTATCCTGAAAGGGGGCCCGATTTCCTTTGCTGACCCCTACGTTTATACTGGACCAAATGTTATGTTGTTTGGGACTAAAAACAGGGCTGCAGATGTCAGAGAGCGATTTGTGTCCCAGCTGACAAAGAAGGAAGGAAAATGGTTACATGTGGTTGGTGTTGTAATAGATTAACAAACATTTTCTCTAGAAACCCACACAGTCATCAGAAAAAAATACTCCGTGGGTTGTTAGATTTATACTTCGAGAAATTTCTGACAAGTCTGAACATTTTTATTTCTTTAAAATATATATATTTACATTTAATCATTGTTAACACTGTAAATTATCTACTGACAAAAAGTGTCAAATATTCTTTATGAGAATAGCTAATATAACCTGCATCCACATGACACAAGAAGTTATGTATTTATTTATTTATGTTTTAAAGGGAAAGATTGCATTAATTTTTTTCCTCCTTTTTATTGGGTTTATCGGGGTGACACTGGTTAACAAAATTCTACAGGTTTCACAGGCACATCACATCACATCATCCGGACACTGAACTGTGTGTTCACCACCCCCAGTGAAGTCTCCATCCATCACCATTTATCCCCCCTTTCCCTCCTCCACCTCCAATGCCTGCCTCCCTCTGAGGAACACCGCAGTGTATTGAGGTTCACAAGTTTTCTCTCTTTTCTCTTTTTTTTTCTTTGCTCAATCCCTCCAGCCACTGTCTTCCCCAGACAGCTGTCAGAGGGCTCTCTGTCTACGAGTCTGTCTCTGTTTTCCTTGTTAGTTCATTTTGTTCATTAGATTCCACATATGAGTGAAATCATATGGTACTTGTCTTTCTCTAATTTTAAAAATAGTTGTTGAAATATAGCTTGATGTTTTCTTTTGAAGTTGATGTAGCCTCTGCTCCAAAATCATTTTGTGATGTAGTTTGCTCTTTTTATGCTTTGTCATCACATGCATTGATTTTCTGAGTCCTTTTCTCTTTACAATAGATAATCAAAAACCAAACTTGTATATAATATTTTAATGAATGTTTGTTCGGCAGCATGCAGAGCTCAGTAGTACTTTCTGAATATTTCCCAGCTTCTGAGCTTTTTAGTACCGGGGATTCTGAGAGTCAATCACGAGTGAACTATGGCTTCTAAGGATGCCAGCCTTCCTTCTCCTTCCTCTCTAACGCCTGTAGACTGAACACAAGGTTTCTAAACTCTGGCTGCACAGTGGAGTCATCTGGGGAGCATTGGAAATGGTACTGATGACCCAACCAGATCCACCACCCTAGATTTTGATGTACTTCCCTGTGGGTGGGGGAACCAGGCACAGCAAGTTCCTGAATAATGTTGTTTTGTTCAACCTTATTTTATTATAATGTCGATGAGATGCTTAAGTAGAAACTTTTAACTCTTGTTTATATCAACAACAAGCCTATGGTGAAATCTGTTTCATTACGCATTATTTCACCACAGTTCTAAGAACTAATGGATGTCGTTAAATGAGGACTTACTGTACTGGTATTGTTTTTAAGTACAGCATATTACTGTACAAAACAACAGAAGATAAAATCAACCACAAAAGGAAATGATGCAATCAAGAGACGTAGTAAACATGAAATGCAGATCATTGTGGGTATGATGGAGCACATTGTTACAGCAAACTTTTTCTTTTTATGAAGTAGAAAGAATAAACTCTAACAATAAAAAGAGTATAGTGAAGACTTAAATCAGTAACATAATCCATTATTATCATCAAGTATTATGTACTGTACATACTTGTACATACTACATTTTTACAGTACTGGCAACACGGAAGGTTTTTTGGACCAGCATCACCACAAACACATGAGTAATGCATCCTGCTGTGACATTGCCAGGATAGGATGTCACTGGGCAATAGGAATGTTTCAGCTCTATGATAAACTTGTGGGACCATCATATATTCAGTGGCATTGACTGAAATGTTATGCATGGCATGACTGTATATAAAATTATTTACTTTCTGTAGCATGATTATTTTCTTATAGTCCATAGAAAATATAAGCCTGTAAAAAGAAAAAGATATACCAGGACAAAAAAAACACGAATTTTTCTTCTCTTGTTTTTAAACTTGATGCCGTTTTGTTCATTTCTTGGGACAAGACTTTGTATAATATAATTGGGACGGGTAGTGCCAGGGGTTACAAGTCATGGCTGTTGAGCCAAGGACTTTTTACAACCTAAAGAGACTTCTTTCACTGCTGAACCCTTCTTGCTGCTGTTCATCCACATAAAAGCACTGAGTACCTACAGTGTGTGCGGCACACAGTGCTAATGGCTGTGGAGGAAAAAGACGCGAGTGAGATGTGGCCCTTGCCTGTGGGACTCACCGTCCAGTGCAAAACAGGCTTCTGATGAAAGGTGGGATTGGTAGGTGGTGGCACTTTTTTTAAGGCCACAATTAAATCTTTGCTTATTAATAAAACATTCCCTGGAAACATGTCAGCATTTCAATTAATATTGAAGTGAACAGAGGCTTCACTAAAAACAGAACAAAATGCTTGCCTCCTCTCTGCCGTCCCCTTCAGAGCATCAAGCCTGCTGTTTTTCTGATGGGATGGTGGGAAGGCCGTGAGCTAAGTGGCACCCCTGAGGCAGACAGCCCAACGTTGGTGGCTCTCGGTGGTTCTTCCTGAAAGGCCAACCCCACCAGCAGTGGCAGGGAGGTCTGCACCCTGTGAAGTGACATAGTTTTGCTCCTGCTTTGAGTCAGTGCCACCTTTTTTTGTCCCAGTTCTGCCTGTTACTACTTGCGGCCTTTGAAAAGCCATGCAGTGTCCTTATTTATAGGATGAATGGGTTGGTTCAGCCTGTATGGCATCTCTAAGGTCCTTTCTAGCATTAAAACTCTATGGCCCTGACTGCAAAGCTTTGATAGGAG